CTGACCCACCAAGCTCAGTCAGCAGAAAATGATCCCACTCCCTTTTTTTTCCTGTTTTTTCCTTTCTTTTTTTTTTTTTTTTTTTTTTTTTATCATCTCATTCAAATTATTCCCTTTGAGCTTCTTTAAAGAAGTGCACCTACAGAATTCGGAAACAACTGGCTTTGATTTGAAAAAGCAAAACTAAAAAAAAAAAAAAAAAAAAAAAAAAAAAAGGCTTTCTAGAGGATTTGGAAAAACACAGTGTTTTAAAAAACAAAAAAAAAAAAAAAAAAAAAAAAAAAAAAAAAAGAAAGTATCAGAATATCAGAATTGTGGATTTTTTTTTCTCTGTACCTGATATATTGTGTAGGGATCTCTAGTCCTCTTTGAAGAAGCTCATAAGCCAAGCGGGCAAAGCTTTAGGAAACAGAAGAAAATAAAATAGTGCATACTCCTGAGAAAGAATTACATACTCATATCACTCTTTTTTTTTTGTTGTTGTTGTTAACAGTTCTTTAAAAATGGGGGAAGATCTCTCTCACACACACTACTCAAGGAAATTAAGGACTGAAACACTGGCATAGTTAGGAATACAAAACTCCCTAGAGAAAAAGAGGAGACCTCAGAAAATTAAGAAATCAGATAGCGCTGACGTTTTTACCAGACCTTAACTTCCAAATTTTGCAACCCATTTTAGACAAGGCATTTTTACCATCAAAGGCAAGTCCTAAATTACAAAGGTATGTTTGCATGCATGAATATGTGTGGCTATACACACATATTAGATATATATATGTATATATTCGTATATATACATATATATATACAAACATACGTAGGATACACACGCAGCCCTACCAAGTTATGTGTGCACATACGTGTATGCACACACATAGGCACACACGCGCCCATACACACCTGTAAACGCTGGTAATCTAAACAGAGAGTCTGTCTAGACCAGGAAAAAAACCCAAAAATATTCTTAAAAAATATAGAGTTAGCTAATTCGACAACTTGAAACGTCCCATCTAATGTTAAGAGGCTGCCACGAACGCAGCTCCAACTGGTTGGTGGTGGTGGTGGTGACTTCACGAGAGGTCTGCGCTCGCCTCCCCCTCCTTTCCTAGTCTAGACAGAGCCAGGGTGGTGGGATGAGATGGGAAGAGTCAGGAGGGAATGAGAAGACGATGGGGTTGCTCAGAAAGGAACGTTCTGGAAGATCGTTTTAACTAGGGTGGAGACAGGACGTCATTCAGAAAAAAAAAAAAAAAGAAAAACAAAAGAATAAAATAAAAACAGCAAGACAGACCGTGCAGCTCAAGAAATCAAAGCACTGACACCAAAAATGTTTCTCCGATTTCTTCCAATAAGTTATTCATTTCTTTCTTTTATTATTATTATTAATTATTATTATATTCCCCTCCCCCCCAATCATTATTTAAAAAATGTGAAAGAACAGAAGTGGGAAAAAAAATCCTTGTGGTTGTCTTCACATGTTCCTGGCAAGAGACTCTGAACCACTGGTCTTGCGCCATTGTGCTCCTCTGATCTTAAATTATTGTCTTTCTTTTATTATTTATTATTATTATTATTATTTTGTCCTACCTAATAGAATTCTTCCAAAGCCCAATCCAATATTTTTAAAGCTAAAATTAAGACGGTTTTGTTTTAAAAGATTATCTTTCTCTCTCTTTTCTCCTTTTATTTATTTAACTTTTTTTTCTTTTCCTTTCTTTCTTTTTATTTTTATTATTTTTTTTTCCTTTCTTTCTCTCTCTCTCTCTCTTTCTCTCTCATTTTCTGTGTTTCTCTTCCTTGTCTCCAGTTTTACTACCTGGTCCTTCGCCAGATGTGTGCCTGTTAGCAGTGTTGTTGTTCAAGAACATCTTGTCCATGCCTTTGAGAGCTTCAGTCAGGTAGTTTTGAAGGGCCGTGAGGGCAGCGCAGATAGCGGGGGCCCCAAAGCCGTGAGTGATGAGGCTGAAGTGAGTCAAGCAGCTCTGAATGCCCGGTTCCAAAATAGGGGTAGGCCGGCTGTTTCCAATGGGCGTCCTGTCCTGGGCCAAGAGATCTGTAAATTCTTTACAAAGTTGCCTGCATGGAAGAAAGAAAGGCAAAGAGGAGACAAGAGAGAGAGAAAAGAGGTGGTTAGGCTCATCCCACACTTCCCCGAGACAACCGAGGTTGAAGGGGGCAGGTTCAGGCCAAATCTGAACCCAAGATCTCGAATAGGACCTTTTGGCCAGCTTCCTTTCTCCCAATAGTGCTTGGGGACCAGCCATATGGGGCCAGCAGCTCCCTGCTGAGAATGATGTTCTTCAGGAGAGAGGTTTTTGCAAATGCAGGATAACACCAGGTCTGGGGGTAGAAAACTCTCCTGCAGCCACAAGGATGCTTCTGGGGAGGCTTAGATTGGATATCAGGAAAAATTTATTCACTGAAGGGGTTGTCTAGAATTGGAACAGGATGCCCAGGGAAGTGGTTGAGTCACCATCCCTGAAGATATTTAAAAGACAGGGAGATGTGGTGCTGAGGGACATGGTTTAGTGGTGGACTTGGCAGTGCGACATTAACGGTTGGACTCGATGATCTTAAAGGTCTTTTCCAACATAAATGATTCCAATGCACCATGAAAACCCAGCCCTGCTCAGCTCTAGAAATAGCCAGGTGGAAAGGGAGGTGCACCGTGGGTCTGTCAACCACCCATCTTCCTGGGTGGTAGGACCAAGCAGGTCCTACCAATGCTGTGTCCTGAAGGAAAGCACAACCATGCACTGAGAGCTACCAAGTGACACAGGGACATGGTGCAAGGAAGGGCTAAACTGGAGCCTCCTCTGAGACAGCTCAGGCTGGGCCACCTTGTCAAGAAAGGTCAAGACTTTGGGACTCCATGTTGGCTTATTCATTGCATGAGGAGCAAAGCTAGAGTTTCCTATTTTATTTTGAGGGGTGGCATCCCAATTAACACATCAGAGTTGACATCTGGCTCTTGTTTGTTTACCCACACGTTTGAAAAATCAGATTTGATTTTTATAATGAATTCCCCCCGCACGCTTCCTTTTGCATTGCTCTGGTCCAAAAGGCCTTTAAGTCAACAAGTGCCCAGGCAATGTAGAAACCCTGGAGGCTGGTGGCATTCCCAAAGGACTAGTTTCTTTGAGTCAAATGCCTACCCAGAGACTGGAGAAAAAAAGGTTGAAATTAAAAAAAAAAAAAAGAAAGAAAGAAAAAAAGAAGCCCTTAAGAGAGGCGTTCAGCTCTCATCCTCTGAAATTCTCTGAAATTCCCAGTGGGTTAAAGGTTTCAGAGGGTGGGGAAAGATAAAGGTCTACTTCTATGTGTATTATCCATTAAGAAAGTGCAAGAGAGGAAACTTTGAATTTGGAGAACAAACAGTAATGAGTCCAACATTTTACATCTTCAAAGAGCAAAGCAGGGTCTGTGAGCAATTAAAGTTCTGGGACATTAATATCTTCTGACCCTGCGGAAAAGGGCAATCAAATTCCAATCACGTCTAAAAAACATCTGGACAAATTTGAGCAAATGATTTCTCAGCCCTCCATATATTTCTTTAAATTACACTGTCATCGGAGGCGAGCTACGTCCCAGAGCACGAAATAAATGAGAGCTTTTGGGATGGGTTTTTTTTTGCCTTTTTCTTTCTTTTTTTTTTTTCTTCCCTTTTTTTTTTGCAGGGAAAAAAAGGTGCAGAGACACACAGCACCCAGTGCCAAGGACCTGAACAAACTACGAAGCACTGGGAGGTTTTTTTTTTGCCTTTTTCTTTCTTTTTCTTTTTTTTTTCCCCTTTTTTTTGCCGGATAGACAAAGATGTGTGGAGACACACAGCACCCAGTGCCGAGGACCTGAACAAACTACGAAGCACTGGGAGGCACAGCCAAGTGTAAATCATCTGACACAGCACATCCACCGAGAAAATCCCAAGGGAGAGAGATGGGTTGGGGGGACCAGGGCGAGGATCATTACCTGCACATGATTGGGGGGTTCTTTCCTTTTTTTCCCTTCTTTTTTTATGTTTGGGTTTGGTTTTTTTTTTTCTTATTGTTATCCTTTTTACTATGATTATTAAACCGTATGGAAAAGACACTGCAATTTAGTAGCAGACAAGCAGGTGTGTGAGAGCAGCAGGAGGGACAGACAGACATGCTGTGGAAGCAAAATATCGATTTTTGTTCCCCTTTCCATAAGGATTTTTTTTTTTTTAACTGGAGAGTGGCTTAGAAAGGATGTAGGGTAGCTAAAGGACATTCGCCTACATCCTCTATAGGGACCCTACTGCAGAGGGATGCAGAGGTTATAGGGTCTACCCTATAGGGCGATAAGAGCATCCTTCATCCCCGCGGGGCGGGTATAATTAGGGGACTTGGAAACTCCGTCTGCTTTCAAAACGAGCTCAAAGGAAGGGTTTAAGGAGGGGGGGGAGGATTATTTCTCGGGGGAGGGGGTTTATCAACTTTGTAGCACTCACTTTGTAGCAAGCAGCATGTTTTTCCTGGAGTGGAGGTCGCTGGGGTCCGTGTGCTGTCGGTTCAGGTACTCCGAAACAGCTTTGGCTGGGAATTCCGTTTCGCAGATGTACCCAAAATCCCGAGCTAAATGAACGGCCTCACCTGGAAGGGATGAGAGGGACATTAACACCTCCGGGCACCCTCCGGCCCCCAGGGCTGGGCTGGTCCCACCTCTTCCTCGGGGAGACACCAGCTCCCTGCGGGATGGGTTTAGAAACCTTCTACCATCCCCTTGCCCCTTGGAGACAGGCTCCAGGTATGTGTTTTCCCTCCACCAGCCCTATTTTGGGGGCCGAAGTACCCCCAAAGTACTCCCAAGTACTGTGGATGGAGCCGATTTTTCAGCTGCTGAGATTTGTCTTGGCGACAACGCCCTTGGGATGGAGTGTGCACACGCAGGGTGGGAAAAGGACACACACGTACACACGTGTAACATAGACACACACACACACGCACACACTTTCAAAGGGACTGGGCCAAAAAAAATAAAAAAAAAAATAAAAAAAAAAAGCAAGGGGAAACTTAAATCCCGAAAAACAAAGATCCAAACTTCCTTTACACCATCTGAATGCCCCAGAACGCTGCCCAAAATTTTACACGGCCCCAGGGCTGGGCTGGTCCCACCTCTCCCTCGGGGAGACACCAGCTCCTGCGGGATGGGTTTAGAAACCTTCTACCATCCCTTTGCCCCTTGGAGACAGGCTCCAGGTATGTGTTTTCCCTCCACCAGCCCTATTTTGGGGGCCGAAGTACCCCCAAAGTACTCCCAAGTACTGTGGATGGAGCCGATTTTTCAGCTGCTGAGATTTGTCTTGGCGACAACGCCCTTGGGATGGAGTGTGCACACGCAGGGTGGGAAAAGGACACACACGTACACACGTGTAACATAGACACACACACACACGCACACACTTTCAAAGGGACTGGGCCAAAAAAAATTTCTACCATCCCCTTGCCCCTTGGAGACAGGCTCCAGGTATGTGTTTTCCCTCCACCAGCCCTATTTTGGGGGCCGAAGTACCCCCAAAGTACTCCCAAGTACTGTGGATGGAGCCGATTTTTCAGCTGCTGAGATTTGTCTTGGCGACAACGCCCTTGGGATGGAGTGTGCACACGCAGGGTGGGAAAAGGACACACACGTACACACGTGTAACATAGACACACACACACACGCACACACTTTCAAAGGGACTGGGCCAAAAAAAATAAAAAAAAAAATAAAAAAAAAAAGCAAGGGGAAACTTAAATCCCGAAAAACAAAGATCCAAACTTCCTTTACACCATCTGAATGCCCCAGAACGCTGCCCAAAATTTTACAGATGTGGACATAACGTTAATATCGATGTCAGTTATTTGCGGGACGTTAGATACAGACTTGTTTATACAAGCACTTGCATCATTATAACTATTATCACTATTATCGCCCCGTCTGTAAAATGATGGATATAACTGCGTTTTCGTCCCGTGGAAATTAATAATCTGCTTTCTCAACTGACCATCACTCCATAGGAACTCTTGAGGTGGAAGGATAGCAACTAATGGCAACCTTTTTCTGTGAAAAAATAATAATTATTCTAATTCTAATTGTCGCTTTTCCTGCCTGCCTGCTTTCAGGTTTCTTGCCTCCAGAGGTTGGTGTCATCCAACTCCTACTGATGTACTTCATGCCACAAGAAGAAGACAGTAGCTGCAGAAAAGGAGGAAAAGAGGAGGGGAGAGGGGGGGGGGAAATCCTCCGACTCTAGGGGGATTCCACCAGATTATAGCTCAACCCCTCTAGAATAAAGCATTAAACCCTTTAAAGCACCGCCTGAGGGACCAGGGGGGGGAAGATCTCCAACACGCAAACCAGATATGTCTAATAACTCCAGGACCACATTATTTCTAACGATCAGGACTTGCTTTTTCCAAACGTCATCTTCTGCTTTCCAAGGTTTCTCGCTAATCACCCACCCGCTTAATGAAAGCCAAGGCAGGCGGGCGGTGCCCCGGGGGGGGACCCCACCGCCCATCACCCCGCACCGGGGCAGGGTTTGCCCCCGGGGGCAACCGCTCCGGTAATCCCAGTTCGGGGCTGGCCGGAGCCTTTCTGCTCCCGGCGATACAACAGCAGCTGAAGCCTGGCTGGTGTCAGAAAGAAAAGAAAAAAAAATAAAAATAATATATATATATATAAATCTCCAGCAGGTGCAGCCTCTTCCAAAAGGAGGGAGCTCGCTCTCTCTCGGGAAACTTGATTTTGAAGGGAATCAGGGGAGAGGAGGGTAATGTACACCTTCACCCACCCGCTTAATGAAAGCCAAGGCAGGCGGGCGGTGCCCCGGGGGGGGACCCCACCGCCCATCACCCCGCACCGGGGCAGGGTTTGCCCCCGGGGGCAACCGCTCCGGTAATCCCAGTTCGGGGCTGGCCGGAGCCTTTCTGCTCCCGGCGATACAACAGCAGCTGAAGCCTGGCTGGTGTCAGAAAGAAAAGAAAAAAAAATAAAAATAATATATATATATATAAATCTCCAGCAGGTGCAGCCTCTTCCAAAAGGAGGGAGCTCTCTCTCTCGGGAAACTGTTGATTTTTTAAGGGAATCAGGGGAGAAGAGGGTAATGTACACCTTCCTGCACGCTTAATATAGATTTTAGCATCAATATACAACCGCACAAGGTTTTGAAGCTCAAGCCAGCTTCGGGAAAAAGGCTGATTTTGTTGTGAGGAGGGTTTTGACACACGTAGCAGGGGGTGAAGCTGCACTAACTCCCGTGTTAAAGGGCAGTTTCACACCCGAAATGCTTCACGTCTCCTATAGCGCGACCCTATAGCCACAACTACGGCACCAAAGCATCATTTATAAGCGGGTACCGGGAGGAGCATCCTTTCCATAAGTCTCTTTGCGAGCCCGCCTTCAGCTCCGCACGCGGTATAAGCTCTTATCGCCCGCATAACTCAATCAAAAGAGTGGAAAAGTTAATATCTAGCGCGAATGTTGACGCCTGCTTATATGCAGAAGAGATAAGTGGATTATTTATACGCCTCTCGGTGCGTATGTGTAATGCAGATACATATAATTCATAATTGCATCCCTACTAGTCCGGTGATGTTTCTTGGAGAGGGGCCAACTTCTCTTAACACATACCCCAAACGTATTAGTGGCTCTAAACTTGACTTTTCCATACAGTAACAATAAATCAAAGAAACGCAGCAAAATGACGGTAGTTGGCTCGAAATGAGGTGAAACTTCAGTCTCCCCGTCCTTCCCTCCCTCCTTTCCTCAGGAATAGCTTGTCTCTTTGTTCAATTCCAACCACCTTCAGGTAAACTGCGGGCTGCGACTAGTAAATCGCTCTGATTTCTTAAAAAACATGTAAAACGCGTATTATTTTTCGGGGGGAGGTCGGGGTGCTCGGGGGGAGCGAATTAAGGGGTGGATGGAGTGGATGTGGGGTCTGAGAGCACAATAGCAATGATTAACGGGACTGCCCTGCAGAATCACACACATATATACATACATTTACACACATATATATACATACATATATAAACATACACACACACACAACCCCATTCTTGCCACCGAGAGGGACCAATGACCCTCCAACCACTGATTTCATTTTGGGGAAGGGCATCTTTAACGATGCCGGTGTTCGTCCATCCTAACCCGCCCTGAATTTCACCTCTGCGAGGTTTTCCCCAAAGTTGGGTGGGTTTGGGGTTTTTTTTCGGTTGGTTCGTTAAATGTCAGGAGTTGAGAGCAGGTAGGGGTGTGAAGGGAGTTGTGACCTCGGCTTACCTTCCACCAGGGAGGTGAGTAAAGTGACATTTGCGGCCTTACGCCTGCCGGCTGGTAAATTCAAACCGATTTTTTCTAGCCTTTCTCGCAAAGATCTCCCCCCGTTTTTCGATTTGGCTCTAGAATTGCAAAGAAATTAACAACCGTGATTAACCCCGCAGTGGTCCTGGAAGAAACGTTTAGTCAGTGGAGCCTGGGAGGGAGGGGTTTTTCACTCGACTTTAAGGAGTTTGGGGGTGTCGGTGTCTGTTCGGATTTACTGAGAGTTTTTTTCCAGGGTTGGGAGTGGGAATGAACCCACTTTTCTCCCTGTTTATCCAGGGAAATCAATGAATGCCAGATATACCAATAATTAATGGCCAGGGTTGTGATGTAGAGAGCAAATGGGTTCCTATTATACGACACTAATTCGTATTAACGAGGGTTGGATGGAGTGAGGAGATGGGTAGAGAGGCAGAGGAGGAGAATTAAATTCTCAATTAATTCAGGAAAGAGCCAAAATGGGGAGAAGAACGAGGAGGGTAAAAAAAACCCCAAAACTGCCAGGCTCGAAGGCAGGATGTGTGTACCTGTGGATAAATAGCCAAGGAGGGAAATATTTATGAAACTTCAGTGTCTTCTTGTGCGGAAAGGCCGTGCTGAGGGGAAGGGCTCACCTGAAGGCAGGGAGCGTTATAAGGGGGGAATTGATTGCCTGAAGGAAGATGTGAATATCTGTCGGAGGTTACTGATAAGGACAATAGGAGGCTGAATGAGCTATAGATGGGAAATAAAGAGCTATTGTTCCAACGCCTATACATATGTAAACCCCCAGGGATGAAATCTTGCCACCTGCGAAATCAAGGAGAGTTTGGGCATGAAGATCCAAGTCCC